TTTTATGACTTTTCTATTGCTCTTGATTTTTATAGCAGTATAAACAAACTAAATCATTTCTTCCAAGACTTCGGAGCGCAATCGTCTTAAGAGAAGGGAGGAAATCAGAGAAGGAAGTCTGCGGGAGAGAAAAGAGCAGGCAGGGACAGCACTTGGCGTGTCAGAAAGAAAATGACAATGGGGCATATGTAAAATACTCTAATCACATTCCGCTCCCGCGCACTCCTGTTTTGTCAAGTGCCCGAATTCACCTGGGCAGCGTCGAAGATGTATTTACAAGGATTTTATTCCCCGTCCTCTTTCCATTTTCCCTGTGTAGCCAGAAAAGTGCCAGTCAAGTCCATTCCCCGTTACAATTTACGGTATTCCCCACATGATCATCGGAACTGAATTTCCTAACAAGGAAAGGCTTTAGCACGATGGCCCAAAATCTTCAGAGTGACACGAGTGTCTTCAGAAATCACTTCAGACCAAAGTAAAAGGATTTTCTATGACGGATCCAGTGATTTTTCCTCAATAAATAGGTTTTAGATTGTTACACACACGTAGAACTGGAACAAAGGGAACTACCAGAAAATATATTGGTTGCCCCTAATAAAATTTATTTAGACAGTTTACTTCTCATAAAAAATAGAGATTGAATTTCGTACAGGAGCGCCTGCCAAGGGGCTAGGCATGGGAGATCATCTCCTCTCGCACCTTCCTTTCCTTTCCCCCCTCCGTCCTTTCCCTTCCCTTCCCGAGGGCGACCGTCGGGCCCGATCCCGGGGTCCCGGCTCTCCCCACCCTCCGCCCCCCAGCCCCGGCCCCCGCCGGCCGATCCGCCCGAGGCAGGGCCGCGGGAGCGGGGCGTGCCGCCTTTGGGCGCACGGTAACCCCAATTCTCCGGTGCCGCGACCCGGGGAAAGAAGGGCAGAGAACTTTCCAACCCCTATAGCTCTCCCCCTCCCCTCCCCGCGAAACTCAAGCCCCGATTGAAGGAGGCTGTGATAGAAACAAGTGTATTTAACCAATTCTGCCCTGATTTAGGAACAGAACCTTCTTTTTTTATCAGAATAATTGTATTTGGAGTGAGAAACACGGTAAAATAAGGTTAAACTGCTAAAGTCAGCAAGGTGGCTTGGCGTAAATGGCCGATAAGGTTTGTAATTTGATATTTTATTTATGTATTTATCGAGCATCCATCCAGTTAAGGAGGCTGCTGTATGCAGAGCACCGTAATTGCTTTTTACACTTAGCAACGCTCCCAGCGTTTATCAAATCTAACTTTTGGTTGCCTGGCTTGTTCGCGCGGATTTTTTTTTTTTTTTTTTTTTTTTTTGTATTTCCAGACAGTAGTGCTGAAATATTGGATATTATTATTCACATTCCCGCTCCTCAGTGCTTCATTGTAATATTGTTCGCTTTAATGAGAAGCGCCTCCCTCAATAATTAACGACCTCACATTTCCCTATTTTCTTGCCTGATGAAAAGAATCAATTTTAATTCATTGTAAATTACAGCTATGCTTTTGAGTGTTATTTGCTTACAGAAAACAAATCAAGTGACTTAGGCTCCTGTTTACTTTTCCACATCGGCATACCCTAAACACAAATGACAAATCAAACTATATCCTTTCGTTAGGCGTAATTTGGAGTTAAGAAATGGAAAAACATAAACACGTGTTTTTATTTCAATCAACCCTCCCGAAAATATGACTTCTTTGGAAATGAAGGACAAGGCTGCCAGCAGCTACAGATCCCAATTTATTCATTCTAGTCAGAGCTAAATATGATGATCATCGCCGCTTTACGACGTTAGCCTACATGCAGCATTTTGTAGCTGCAATAAATATACTTCTTTGAAAGCAACTTTACGAAGTTTAAAGGCATCCGAGGCAAGAACGATCGCAGCTGATTGCAAAGGCAGCCGCCAGGACTTGAGAAAACAGCCTCCCCGAGGGCGGCGGGGAGAGCTCGTGTCTCCCGTCATCTGTCCCTAAACACGGGGAAGAACAGAGTTTTCCCATTTGTTTATTTATCTAAGTATCTGCATCCCTCTCCGGCCGAGCCACCGGCAGCGCCTCCAATTGTCTCCTCGCTGGCAGGCTGCGGGGAAGCTCTCGACAGCGAAGCGGCTGCTTTAGATTGAAAGGATGGCTTCTATCAATTAATTTTCATCAGAACTATGACAACCAGTCTTTTATGGGGAAAAAGCTATTTTAATATAAAGGTATGCCTGACACCCCCTCACCCGCTCTCCCACGTCCAGAATCAAACTCTTTATACACAAAAGTCACCTCCCCCCCTCCCTCCAGCTTCGTATGCATGTATGTATGTACAGGCTTTTCGCATAATATTAAGTTCATAAACTTAAAGATGCGGAGCCCAAAGCGTAACGCACTGTGCTGTAGCTTATGCGGTCGGACCGAGACTACCGGGGCTGCCCCGAAGGCGAAGGGAACGCCGCTGTGAAGCATTTTTCAGCTGCATCTCTGTTTAGGGAAAGAGCACACTTCCAG